TCTTCACTGTGAGGGTGGTGAGACACTGGACTCTAGGGGAGACTAGGTGGGACACTAAGTTGCCCAGAGAAGCTGTGGCTGCCCCCTCCCTGGCAGTGTTCAAGGCCAGGCTGGATGGGGCTTTGAGCAGCCTGGTCTGGTGGAAGGTGTCCCTGCCCATGGCAGGGGGCCTGGAACTAGGTGAGCTTTAAGGTCCCTTCCAGCCCAAACCATTCTAAAACGATTCTAAGATACCACGCCGTACAGCCCCGCCCAGGGCGGCAGAGCTACCGAGAGCCTCCCCTCGGGCCCGGCGGGGCTGGGGAACAGGACGGATCCAAGCTGCAGGGAAGGCTGAGGCGCCGCCTTCCCCGCGCCTCCCGCCGGCAGCTCAGGGAGGCTCTTCGGGAGCCATGGCTGCCTGCCGCGGGAAGCAGGGCGGCTTCTACGAGGGCCTGAGTCCCACCGGCAAGAAGGTGACACAGCGCGAGGGGACGCCGAGCGGGGAGGAGGAGTTTTTGGCGGGGCTGAGGGCGGGCTACCTCCCATCTAGGGCCTGCCTGCTGCCCCGGGAGGGAGCCGGGGGCAGCCTCGGGGTGGCTGCTTTAAATCCGATCGGATTTCATGTAGGATTCATGCTAGACCTGTGTCCAAAAAATGCAGTTAATGACAACCGATATGTGCTGGGGTGTATCCTTTGAATTTATGAAGAGGGAATAATCTTTAAGCCAGGGTTCCGTGCAATATTTCTTATCATTCTTTTCTTAAGGAAATAGGAGCTTTGCCACAGCTGGGAATAGGAGCAGGATTTAAGCAGGGAATGTTTGTGACCGAGACGTCTACTTCAATAGTAAAAGGCAATATTTCAAACAAACAGTGCTGTACGGGTGTAAATTGTGATGGACCATGGCAAACATTTACGTCTGACAGTGAAGGGCCAGTAGATGCACAAGCAGGTATGTTTGTTAGAGAAGGAGGGCATACATATTTGTTGCGTATTTGTTCCTTGGATTATCATTTCATCATTTGGCTTTTCATTGAAAGTACAAGAAAAAAACGTTGTGGAAAATATCCAGGGTCTCGGGGCACCCGCAGCATGCGGTTTTGATAGGTGGGTTTTTTACACCACCTGCCGAAAAGAACTGTAACTGCATCTTTGGTTAGAAATTATTTTAAGACAGTAGTTACGGAGGGACAAAATTTGCTCCCTAGGTGTACTGACGTCATTCTTGGGTGTGGATACACATTCCTCAAGAAGTATGGGAGAGTGCATATCTGTTTGCTGTATTACACTTACCTCCAGTGACTCATGAAATTGGGAGCAGTGCCCAAGACTCATGTTCTTCTCCCCATTTTTGTGTACAGTACGCATTAGTAGTACTTCATCTCTGAGGGTGTGAAAGGAGTTTGCTGTTCTTTAGGTATTAGCAGTTGATAAATTCCAATAGCTAGGTTTCGAATGGGGGAAAAAAACCCCCAGGATTTTAACTGTAAAGGTTTAAGGAAGGTTTGCTTGTATTGGGCGTAGAATTGTACAATATCTCAAGTTTGAAGGGACCCATAAGGATCATCAGGTCCAACTCCTATGCTTTACTGTTGGTGTGATCATACTCTAGGGTATGTGTAAACAGTGTAAAATCAAGCTAAGGTGGTGGTGAATATCCTCTTGCAGCAAGTTACGTTGTTCTAGTAAGACATGGGACTATAGATCTTTTTCGTTCTTCATACCTTGTGTTAGAGTGTATTGGTGGGAGAAGGTAACAAAGAAGTCTAAGTATAGACCTTATTATAGCTTGGAATTAAATAGCTCCCCAAAACTGCATTGTAGTGAAAGGAAGAAACAAAACAACTTTTTCTTGTCTTTCAAGTAACATTGACACTTTGCCCTTTTTTTATTTTTTAAACAGAAATGCAGCCCTGAAGAGAATGTTTTTTTCTTCAGTAAATTAACATATTCCTGGTTTAGCAGGTGAGAATTTAATAAACTGCTTGTTGATGTTCATTGGTGCTCACAGAATTATAGAGCATGCACTTACATTCCACACCATCATTCTGGCTCGAGCCAGAGCCTGAGCCTGAGGTTGCTGTTAGCTTTTTGTACAAAAATCAAGGTTTACAACTTTCAGAGGTCATGTTCAAATATTTTGTGGAGTACCGGTCATTTTATATGTTATCTAATGGCATTATTTAAAACATTAGTATTTTGATAACTAAGCACCGTATTCTTGTCACAATAGACAATATTTATAGACAACAGGATATAAAAGGCCACTCAAAAATAGGAACTGAAAGCTCAACAGTATCAAGTGATGCAGCTTCCTGTCACTTAATATTTTGCATGTTATTTCAAACAATTTCATGTGTTATGTCTTCTGACCGTTACTCATTTTTAACATTTTTGGTTTTCTTCTTTAAGAATCATTTGAGTCAGACATATGCACTTCAAAAATCTAAAAGTGAGGAAACACATTTTTAGAGAATTATAATTGCTTCTTGCTTTATGCAATACTACTGATTTTAAGGAAAAACTGAAAATGGTATTTGCTATTAATAAGCTGAGACAAAACGATCAGATTGTTTCAAGAATTCAGAGTAGCTGATTAAACTCTGGCCCTGTTGAAGTTAGGAGTTCACCACCAGTTTCAGAGTAGCTTTGGTTTTTACCAGTCCTTACATTGTACACCATAAATACAAATTTTCAGTTTTTCTAGAACTTTGTGCAGTGTACGGAGCGCAGTGCTTTTATATGGCATTTATGTGTTCGTTATGTCACAGTGTTCACCCAAATGTTCAAGCCAGGCTATCCTTTGTATTTTTTAACAATGTTTAACAAAAGAAAAGAGGAAAAAAAAAAAAAAGGATTTAATTTTTTAATTTGTGCTCAGTGAGAGCTTATTTAGCTATGGAATAACTGGATGCAATTAAACTGCTATCGTCAACATTAGATATGTTCCCTCTGTCCAGTCACAAGCAAACACAGTGAATTATGGCTAATATATACTTACCTTAAGTGCTTGCAGTCCAAATAAGGAAGTCTCAAGTTAATTGTTTCATAATAAACCCATAATGCTATATTATGTTTCTCTAGAATTCAGGCAATCTGGAGATTATGGTGTGGAGGGCATTTGGTGGATCTATTTATCCTCTGGCTGCAGTGAGTTTTAGCACTGAGATGACTTGTGCACAATTCTGAAACAACAGCTCCCACTAAAGTACCAATGGGTCTGCTTTCCTCATCTGTCTCAAAAGCTGGCGCTCTTAGTGAGAAGCTGTGTTATTTTTGCCTTAATTTATCAAGTGTAAGGCAAATTCACTTTTTATTAATGTTACAGCTTCAGTAGATGTTCAGATGACCCTTCAGGATACTGAGGTCCACTCCCACCAGAATTTTACAACCTCCAAAAAAGTGTTTCTGAGTCTTATTTTCTATCCTGTGGTAAGCACAGTAGCACATGTTAGCCCCAAGCCCAGCGCTGGCACTGACCAGCACAGGCATGGTACCTTGGAAGTGCACACCGGAGAAGGTAGACACTGCGCTTGTGTTGCAGCCATCAGGGAGGGAATTCCTCACCAGCTTGACAGCGTTGGAGCTGCCACTGAGAGGTCACACACTCCAGTGGCCATGCATGTGTCTCTGGTTGGTTCCTAGATGTTTGGGATTTCCTTTAAGTTAGAGAGCATTGTCGACATGAATCTTTTTGCGTTTTACCCACTTCAGAAATGGTATGGCAGGGTTTGCTTTGAGCTGTCATAAATCTGACATGCTCATCAAAAATTCCAAATAATATATTTTTCTTTCAGAGTTCCTTTAGGCTCAGTGTATATGTCAGCCCTATTTTGCCATTTTTAAGACCAGTTTTAGTTTTTGTTGACACTTCAGTGGGAAAAAGCACTTTGTTAAAAAGCAATTTAGCAGCTGAAGATCTGCTGTAAGGAAAATTCCATTGTACTTGTGCCGAAACCCAGTAGTTTAGTGTTGTTACCTTGGTTAAAGATGAGTTGCAACATATGAGTCACCATCCCTGGAGGGATTTAAAAGAGGTGTAGACGTGGTGCTTAGGGACATGGTTTAGTGGTGGACTCGGCAGTGCTCATCTAACGGTTGGACTCAGTGGTCTTTTCTGACCTGAATGATTCTGTGATAATGCAGTCCTGTGATAGAAAAGGTATTTCATTCCAGATCACAATAGTAAGTGGGTAATGATGTTACACGTGTTTGTTTATGAAATAGTATGTTTTCCTATAAAGAAATATGGCATTAGAAATGTAGACAGATTCTACAGAAATGTAGACAGGAACCTGCAAAGGTTCCTCAGAATTTGCTGTTCAGATGTGAGAGTCTTCTTGGGCTCTTCTTACTTCAGGTGAATTTCAGTGTATTTAAGGTGACTGTAAGTACGTTCCACTACTTAGTCTGTAGCCTTTATAGGATTGGATGTGTTTTATTTTTATTATAGAATTCATTTATATACACTAAATTATATCATTAGCTTTTTGAGTTAGTAGTTCTGCCTGTTTTATCTGCTGTATTTCATGCTGTCTAAATTAATTACTTTCTTTCAGACTAATATCTATAGGCTATAAGAAGCCATTGGAAAGGGATGACCTGTTTGAACTGAATGCAAGTGATTCACCGTACAGTGTGTGTCCTAACTTTGAAAAGCAGTGGAGAAAAGAAATCCAGAAGTCTGCTACAGGATTCATGGTAGCTATAATTCTGGCCATAGACAACATCCTTTTCTAAGTTTAAGGAGTCTAGAAGCTGGAGAAGATTTCTCAAATGTTTATTGAGCAGCCTGCGTTTTTTAGATCACAAAGGCCACTCAGTGTTGTGATCAGTGATCTCTAGTGTGGCCATAGGATTTTTTGAAATTGTTTAAGTTCAAACTTACCTCTTAGAAAGTTATCTAGTTATATTTTAACACTTAAGTGATATGGTATCTACCATGACTTTTACTTTGGTGATTTATTACCATCTTTGTCAAAACTGTCCAACTAATTTCTCTCTGAACTTTTCTGGTTCCTCGTGTCTTATCTTTGCATCTGTATTTCAGGTAGGTAGAGAAGTCTATTATCAGCTTGCTTATCGATAGCCACTGGCTTACAGAACACACAAAACAGGCTTTGGTTTTCTTTATTTTTTAATTATACTGAATTTTTACAGATATTTTGGGGTTTTTGCTTGAGTTATCCTGTGTGATTTTCATGTAAATCCTTGACAGTTTCAGTCACAGTTATTATTTTGTTGTTGTAGTTAGAGTGCAATAGGAGCTCTGTAATGTTAGGAAGCTCAGAGGAGAGAGGACATAACGTGTAACTCCAGTAAGAGCTTAGCTTTTGTTTTTTAATGCTTACTGAGAAGAGGGCTCCCGCAGAGTCTAACTTTACTACATCTCTTCAGTATTTTTCTTATCTATTTGTAGACTTGCCCTTTGTTCCAAAAGGTAGATAGTATATACCCCAAACCCTTTATATCAAAGCATTCGAGAGTATTTTTCAATAAGGATAATTTTTGATTCAGATACTGGTTTTATTATTCAAGTAATCTGTAAAAAATATCTTGTCCTTCGACACTGTGGTAATTAAGAAAGGCTAATTATTTTTTTTTTTTTTTGAGCCCTTGTAAGAATATTTGCAATTGTTTGAACTAAATTCAAACTGAAAAAAGGTAGTTACTTGAGAACTGAAAATATTCTGAAAGACTAGAAGGGTTATTCCAACCTTAAATGTAAAGTTGCTGTAAGCCTGCTATAAATGATAATGTGTTTATGTTGAAGCTTACCTCTGGTTTTTGGTACAGTTTTTTTGACCTGTGATAATCATTTGGGGATTAAATTATTTTCTAATTATATTTGTGGGTGATTGGGGCAACCCTAGAAATTATATTTATCCCTTCCTGAAAGACTATAAAATAAAGCCAGACTTAATTTCTTACCCCAAAGCTGTTCTTCTAACTGTAGGAAATGTGCTGTTTCAGATCATAAGTACAGTGATGGCTTTAGATGGACACTCTGATATTACATATTTTATATTTGTAAATGTGGGTGAAGTTCAAAACCATTTTTTTCTCTTAATTCTGTACATATTTTTGTAATCTTGCAGGCTTCTTGCATCAAAAGAGTGCTATTTAAGAAAACATGTTTCCATAAACCATCTTTGGTTTTGCCATTGTGGCAAACATTTAAATTCTTATTGATTAAAGTTGCATTTCTGAAAGTTGCAGCTGATATTCTGGCTTTCATGAGTCCACAGATAATGAAGTAAGTTTGTAATGTGTTTCATTTTATGTTCAGAAAGTAACAGTAATAATAAAGCTAAAGGGTTTCCAATATCAAAACCACACTAAGCAACAGCTTAGATGTGTAAAGATTTTATTCCGCCACCCCAGTGATTATCTGAGAATGATCTAATGAAGGAAAGCTCAGAGATCAGGAATTTCTTAGCCAGAGGACAGAGACAAAACCAGTGGAAGTTCAATTAAGTATTGAATATACTTAAATATAAAATCAAATGTTAAGAAAAATGGACTACTAAGATATTTAACTTCCCTGCTTTTTTGTCAATATTTTTCCATCTGTATTTTTAAAAAAAACACTTAAATATATAACAACATCTACAGCTTCAGCATTTAATGGAAAACTGCAAGGACTCTGTTGTTATCATGTTGGTACCGTGAGGTTGATGGAAGTAGTTTTTAGAAATTGTGCTTACCACACGGGTGTTAAGAATTTATCAAATACCTGTGTGTTTATAAAGAGATGAGTTAGTTGAACAGAATTATTGTTAACCTTCAAACAATACCCTGAATCAGTGTAATCCTGAACAAAATTGTTAACCATACAATCTGTTTGAAGACATCACAGTCGCTGGTTATTTAAGATAACCTTTTCTAACACAAAAAAAAAGAATTTTCCTTTAGATTTTTTTTCTCTGTCACTTTCATGGTAGGTAGTTGTAACCTGTGTAAGTACAAATACCTTCTTTTTTTTTTCGTTTTATGCCATTCTTTATTTGTACTCCGTTGTCAGTGAAGACAGAAATAGCACATTCATGTCTAGAATAGTATTTGGGAGTTGTTTCTAAGCTAACAAATTGGAAAACACAGATAAGACCTGCCATTTTTTAACATCATATTTCTTTGTGACCTTCCACCATATCTGGATCCAAAATGGACTTAATTATACAAGTTGCCAGCATGTCAGTTTATTGAACTTGTTATTGTCGGTTGTTGACTTAACGTGCAGAATTTAAAATCTATTTTCCTTAACTTTCAGAGCTATGATAATGGTCAGTGAAAATCATCCTAGGTCATATGGGAGTGGATGTGGCTATGCTGTTGCCCTGTTTTTTGTAGTTCTCTCGCAGACTCTTCTCCATCAGTTATACCAGCGTAACAACATGCTTACTGCAGTCAAAATCAAGACTGCAGTTGTTGGCCTGATATACAAAAAGGTAATCATGTATTCTTCTACTTTGCTTTCAAAACAAAAAATAAAATAAACACACAGTGATTAAAGACAATATACTTACCAGCATAATCAAACCCGAGGATGTTGTACACTGGTGACAGGCTAACAGATTGACTTAATATTTTGAAAAGGATTTATTTATAATAATGTGGAATTTCAGCAGCGTTTCTATTATAAGACTCTAATCCTGAAATTACATATTTTTGTCAGCCACCTGTACAAAGATAATATTGGAGATACATGTAGAAACTGAACTCTTCCTTTTTTGATTATCTGTTAATTTCCCAAATTTACTGAATGAACTGGGTAAATTTTTTTAGTTTGGATGTCTTGGAAGAAGTAAGGGTGTATGTGACAGCTGGTTTTTTACTATAGAGTAGTAGTGAATATGAGAAGCTGAAGTTTGCCACATTGTCTCTGGAGGTTGAAATTTCCCCCCGATTTTAGTGAAATTGATTTTCTGTGGAGTTGAATACCCAGTAGGTTTGTTGTCTTTCAGATGTTTAAGACATGGCTAACTGCTGTGGAGATCTGTCTGTAACTTATCCTGCCTTTAGTAAGATACACTGAGGTGGCAGCGTTATTAGCTAGAAGAAATACAGGTGCTGATAATGTAGAAGTAAAAGTACCTGTCTGACCTGCAAAGCATAAAAATGTTTTCTATACTGTTAATGTGATGTCTAGACATATGAGATGAAGCTGGTTTCTCAGTGCTGCACCTTTAGTTTACCTTGTTATGAACCTGGCACGTTGTTAGTTTTACTGCAGTGTTGAACTATTAAGCACAAGTTAAGGAATCCAAAAAATAATCCAAATCTGAAATAAATTACCGTCTTTGTTAATTTAAAATAGAGTCTCTTTTCTCAAGAGAGTCAAACTGATCTTTTGACATGGACTTCTGAGGTATTTTCTGAACCAGTACACAAAATTTTACTTATAAGTTGCAAATCAGTTAAATGAATGAATGAATTGTCTCGAGTCACTTATCAAGGTGTGTCAGTACATCAGATCATGAACAGGGGAACAGAGACTCCAGTTGGGGTGGGCATGTCCCCTGGCAAGTTTTCACAGCTACAGGGTAGAGATACAGCTTCTTCCTCTCTCTGAGGAAGAGTTGGTTAGTGAGTGCCAGGTCAGGTTGCGCTTTGCATGTGGGATGGATGGTGGAGGGAGTTACTGCAGCACTGCCTTCTTGCATGCAGAAGTTGCAGGTGACACAGTAGGGAAGAGAGAGAGAGACTGTCTGTCAGTCAGTCAGTCAGTCCTGAGACACCTGGGACTTGTGGTATCCGCCTGCCACACTGAGATTGTATATGTGCTTTCTGCGATACCCGCTTTTGCTGCTTCCTGCACTGGGAGGTTCTAAGCTGGGCCAAAGCTGAGACTTTCTGAGCCCTCTTTGCACCATGTTGTCCTGAGAGTTACAAGTCTGTGTCACTGGGTTCAGCTTTGCTCTGGTCACTGTCCTTTTAGCTTCTCCTGGGCAGCTAAACCCATCAAAATAGTTGATTTTTGTGACCTCTGTATTTTCTGGTTGCAGGCCTTAACTTTAGCAAATTCCTCACGACGAAACTATACAACTGGGGAAATTGTTAACCTGATGTCAGCAGATGCTCAGCAACTCATGGAGCTGGCTGTAAACATCAACCTGTTGTGGTCAGCACCTTTTCAGGTCATCATGGCTGTCATCTTTCTCTGGAAAGAACTTGGCCCCTCAGTCTTAGCAGGTGTTGCACTGCTGCTTTTGGTTATACCTATAAATGCACTCATTGCAGCCAAAGTAAAAAGACTGAAGGTGAGATACTTAAATAATCATGGTAAGGAGAGGTTATCTTGTCATAATACAGGAATGAAGGGGTGGGTAAACTGTGCATGTGTAAGAATACTGTTGGTACATCTAAATTAAACCTGAACCAAACAAATAACGCCAAGCCGCAGTTGTTTTTCATTGAGGGGGGAAGTGTAACTGTAGTAAGAAAGCTGTATATTTGATAGCTAAACCAGTAGTTAGGTTGGATACCTGAATTTTCATTATACTGAAACAGTACTTTTGTATTAGTAAAAATTACTGTATGACTCAATTTAGGAAACAGCTGTGGTTTTGCATATTACATGGGTTAATTCCATTAAATAAGGGATTTTGTAGGATTATGGACCTCTTCCACTTTTATTATTTGGGTAAGCTGCTCACTCAAATTTAGCACGTTCTCCTGAGGTTATGGGAATTCCCACAGAAGTGCTGCATGTGTTCTGACTTCTTTTCTGCTTTTCTGATGCTACAGTTCTCATGGCACTATGTTGCCTATTACTATGACAATTTCTGTAAGCTCCACTGGAAAAAAAAAATACTATGACCCTGAGTTTGTCATTGCTATCAAGGCAGTTGTTTGTCTTATTCTGCCTACGATGCAACATGCAGTGAAGACTCTGGGTCTCCATTAATTCTTTTGTAAGGCTGTGACTGTTTAGAGACATTGAAAAAACCCAGAAAACCCCTCTCACCTCTTCCACAGGTGAGGTGCAGCAGCTACATATGCACTTAGATCCCTACTGTAATAAGAAAGATAGAGAAGAAATACAAAGGACAATAAACTAATTCTGTCTAAAAGTTTGCAACTTCTTGTTGTATATGAATAAGACTCAAAACATTAAAGAGGTTGTTAATTAGTATTTTAGAAATTTGAGGTGCAGAAGAGCCTGAAGAGTGAGAATTTATGTGTTTCTTTGCTTGGTTCTTCCAATAACAATGTATTAATCAGTAACAGAGGAAACATTCTTTCTAATTCCTGTATATATACATGTAAACAGTGTTTTATATCCATATAGTTATGTGTATATTCATATATGTGTGTGTATCATGTCATACCATATTGTTATTGAGTCTATATTTACCTTCTTAGTGATTTTTGAAGATTAAAACTGTATTATCGTTCCTGAACATTCTCGGAACTGGAAGCCTGTAAAGATTTTAATTCAGTATGATGAAAAAAAGGACAAAAATTAAAATACGCTCTTTAAGATATTTTAGGCAAAAATGTTATTTTAACGTATTTAATCCTTTATCCTATCTAATAACTTTTTTTACTACATCTGTATCTGAAAATGGTATTACTGCATTAAACATATGTTTAGTTGAAAAACACCCTGCTAGTGTGTTTTTCAGCAAGGTAAAATTAGCATAAAAGGTATTTATTGCCTACAGTAGACTGCATATTTTACTTTCCAAATTTTTTTGCTCATTGAAAAATGAAAAATTGCTGTGTCTTAACCAGAAAAGCCAAATGAGGTATTCAGATCAACGAGTCAAGCTACTAAGCGAAATGTTACATGGAATAAAGGTAATGCCACAACTAATAAAGGTTTTGGGGGTTTTGTTAGGTTATAAAGATAGAAAGTAAGTTATTTAAAAACCATACGTTTTTATAAGTAATATTTCAGCTGATAATGATAAAAAGTTAAAGAGAAAATATTTTAACATAATGTGCTTTAAATGTTTTTGGACTATATTTACTGGTTTAATTTGATTGGAAAAATTACATGATGTGTTAATTTTACTACCACATTTTTAATGAGAATATAAAATATGTTAATGAATGTCTGAAAACCTTTAGCAGAGTGAAATTTTAGCATAGAAGAAAAGCACCTTTAGAAGTTGTCTCCTTTTTGTTATTTATACTGTTTTGAAATAAACTAGCTCATCATTTATGATACGTAAGGGACAAGTTGAAATCTGAAGAATTAAGAGTGACTAGAGGATATCTTCCATAAGAAAAACCTAATTTAGAGTTATCTCAGATCTTGCTTTCATTTGTAAAATTTTTTTTAAATTACTTTTTTGAAAAATCATTAAAAAAAAAAAGTCATTAAAAAAAACTCTTTTGAAAATGACATTTGGAGCTTAAGCTTATTTTCTGAAGCATGGTCACTGTTTTTTTGTTTTATTAAAATATATTTGTTTGATTGTGTAGATCCTCAAACTTTATGCCTGGGAACCTGCATATCAAAAGAAGGTCATGAGCATTAGAGAACGTGAAGTGGATGTTTTGAAGTCATCTGGGTATTTGGCGACTTACTCCATGCTAACATTGACGTGTATTCCTTTTATGGTTTGTTTTATAAAAATATTAATTCATGCAGGACTGTTTCTCATGTTGCCCATTGCTTTAGCAGCTGAATGGCTCACAAATATTGCCTCACAGTTATTCAAAACACTAAATTTATCAACACAAAATATTTGAATTCTGAGGTTCTAATAGAATGTATATGAGTGGAGAAGAATGAGAGAGATTATGCATTGGCCAAGCTTTTAAAGACCTCAGTTGGGAAGTTGGAAACCAAATTCAAAGCTCCTGAATCTCGTTTCACCGTTTCTATTGCATAGAAATCAACTACCTTCTTTGTACTCCTCCTTTTTTAAGGGAATGCATTTTCAATCTTCTCAATCACTAAACCTCTAAATACATGAAAAAGAAAAAAACAAAAACAAAACCAACAAAACAGCAAACATCCCCCCCCAAAATACAAACCAAATTCATCCTAGCCTTGTTTCAGTGGGATTCTATTGGGAATGCATTCAGATCTTTGGATCTTTAAATCCCTCTGTTAAGCTCCATTGGAAAGTAAATGGAGACTTCGGGGCCTTGGGACAACTCGTTAAGGGATCAGTAGCACAAGTAGTGCTCTCCTCTATGCTTCCAGTTGCAGGGAATGATGAGGGAAGAAACAGGAAGAGCCGGCAGATCAATACCTGGCTCCGAGCATGGTGTCACCAGCAGAACTTTGAGGTTTTTGACCATGGGTTGGTTTACACGACACAAGACCTGCTGGCCACAGATGGGGTACGCCTGTCTCAAAGGGGGAAAAGGATCTTTGCACAGGAGTTAGCAGGGCTCATTGAAAAAGGTTTACACTGGATTTGAAGGGGGAAAGGGATGAAACCAGGCTCACTAGAGATAAGACTCAGGGCAGCCAATGTTTTAGGGACAGTGTGCTAGTGAGGTCCTTCTGTCTGCTGTCTCAGTGGAGACAGGAGATACAGATCCACATGGCGGCAAAGATGCAAGGGTTACTGATGTGCTAAAAACAATGGAAGAGCCTGAGAACAGTCACATAGGAATTAGAGCTTCTTCCCAAAAAAGGTGGCCCAACTGAAGTGCGTTTACACCAATGCACACAGCATGGGCAACAAACAGGAGGAGCCGGAAGCTGTTGTGCAGCAGGACAACTGTGACATAGTTGCAATGGTGGAAACACGGTGGGATGACTTGCACAACTGGAGTGCTGCAATGGTTGGCTACAAACTCTTCAGAAGGGCCAGGCAAGGAAGGAGAGGTGGTGGGGTAACTCTGTATGTTATGGAGCGTTTTGACTCTCTAGAGCTTAATGATGGTGATGAAAAAGTTGAGTGTTTATGGGTAAGAATCAGGGGAAAGGCCAACAAGGCAGGTATCACGGTGGGAGTCTGTTATAGACCACCCAACCAGGATGAAGAGGCAGAGGACATATTTTATAAGCAGCTAGGAGAAGTCTCACAGTCGCTAGCCCTTGTTCTCATGAGGGACTTCAACTTACCAGATGTGTGCTGGAAATAGAATACAGCAGATGGGAAACAATCTGGGAGGTTCCTGGAGGGCATGGAAGATAAATTCTTGACACAGCGGGTGATTGAGCCAACTAGGGAAGGCGCTGTGCTGGACCTGTTTGTGAATAGAGAAGGACTTGTGGGTCATGTGATGATTGGAGGCCATCTTGGGCACAGTGATTGTGAAAGGGTAAGAGTTTTCGATTCTTGGAGAAGTAAGGAGGGGGGTGAGGTCAGCAAAACTGTTACCGTGGTCTTCTGGAGGGCAGATGTGGTCTGTTTAGGAGACTGGTTGACAGAGTCCCTTGGAAGGCAGTCTTGAAGGGTGAAAGAGTGCAGGAAGGCTGGATGTTCTTCAAGAAGGAGATCTTAAAGGTGCAGGAGCAGGCTGTCCCTATGTGCTGAAAGACAAGCTGGTGGGGAAGACCAGCCTGGCTGTACAGACAGCTTTGGCTAGAACTCAGGAAAAAAAGAATTTGTGATCTTAGGAAGAAGGGACAGGCAACTCAGGAGGACTACGAGGATGTCAAGAGGTTATGCAGGGTGAAAATTAGAAAAACCAAAGCCCAACTAGAACTTAATCTGACTACTGCCATAAAAGACAATAAAAAAATGTTTCTATAAATACATTAGCAGCAGAAGGAGGGCTAAGGAGAATCTCTATCCTTTATTTGATGCAGAGGGAAACAGTGACAAAGGATGAGGAAAAGGCTGAGGTACTTAATGCCTTCTTTTCCTCAGTCTTTTATAGTAACACAAGTTGTTCTTGGGCTATCCAGCCCCCTGAGCTGGAAGCCAGGGACAGGAAGCAGAATGAAGCCCCCATAATCCAAGGGGAAATGGTAGTGACCTGCTACACTACTTAGACATACAGAATTCTATGGGGCCGGATGGGATCCACCCCAAGGTACTGAGGGAGCTCTCAAAAGTGCTCACCAAGCCACTTTCAATCATTTACCAGCAGTCCTGTCTAACCGAGGAGGTCCCAGTTGACTGGAAGTTAGCAAATGTGATGCCCATCTACAAGAAGGGCTGGAAGAAGGATCTGGGGAACTACAAGCCTGTCAGTCTGACCTTGGTGTCAAGGACGGTTGTGGAGCAAATCATCCTGAGTGTGATCAAATGGCAGGTACTGGACAACCGTGTGATCAGGCCCAGTCAGCATGGGTTTATGAAAGGCAGGTCCTGCTTGACTAAGCTGATCTTCTATGAAAAGCTGACCCGCCTAGTCAATAGTGGAAAGGCTGTGGATATTGTTTACCTGGACTTTAGTACAGCCTTTGACACTGCCTCCCACAGAGTTCTCCTAGGCAAGCTAGTGGCTCATGGCTTACACAGGTGTGCTCTTTGCTGGGTAAAAAACTGGCTGGATGGCCGGGCCCAAAGAGTTGTGGTGAGCGGAGTTAAATCTATTTGGTGGCCAGTCACAAGCGGTGTTCCCCAGGGCTCAGTATTGGGAGTATTAATATCTTTATTGATGATCTGCATGAGGGGATCGAGTGCACCGTCATTAAGTTTGCAGATGACACTAAATTGGGCAGGAGTGTTGATCTGCTCGAGGCTAGGAAGGCTCTGCAGAAGGATCTGGACAGGCTGGACTGATGGGCTGAAACCAATTGTATGAGATTCAACAAGACCAAGTGCTGGGTCCTGCACTTGGGCCTGCGGCGCTACAGGCCTGGGGATGAGTGGCTGGGAAGCTGCCCGGTGGAAAAGGACCTGGGGGTGCTGATTGACAGCCGTCTGAACCTGAGCCATCAGTGCCCAGGTGGCCAAGAAGGCCAACAGCATCCTGGCCTGTATCAGAAACAATGTGGCCGGCAGGACCAGGGCAGTGATCGTGTCCCTGTACTCGGCACTGGTGAGGCTGCACCTCGAATCCTGTGTGCAGTTTTGGGCCCCTCGCTACAAGAAAGACATTGAGGTGCTGGAGCGTGTCCAGAGAAGGGCAATGAAGCTGATAGAGGGTCTGGAGAACAGGTCATATGAGGAGCAGCTGAGGAAACTGGGGTTGTTTAGCCTGGAGAAGAGGAGGCTGAGGGGAGACCTTATCACTCTCTACACCTACCTGAGAGGAGGTTGTAGCAAGGCGGGTGTCGGTCTCTTCTCCCAAGTAACAAGCAGTAAGACAAGAGGAAACGGGCTCAAGTTACACCAAGGGAGATTTAGATTGGATATTAGGAAAAATTTCTTTACCAAAAGGGTCATCAAGCATTGGAAAAGGAGGCCCAGGGAAGTGGTTGAGTCCCTATCCCTGGAGTATTTAAAAAATATGTAGATGTGACACTTAGGGACATGGTTTAGTGGTGGACTTGGCAGTGTTAGGTTTATGGTTGGACTCGGTGATCTTAAAGGTCTTTTCCAGTGTAAATGATTCTTGTGGATCAAACTGGAACCTTCGTTAGGGAGAAATGACCACCATTAACTTCAGTTACACAAGATGACATCTTCTAGTGCTTAACTCACAATATGTAAGAGGTAAAGAGGAATATTCCTTAGGAATAGTGGAAGGATTAAGGCCATCCTTCAGCCTGTAACATTGATAATAACAGAAATTTTTGAAGCAGTGAGCAAGAAAAACTCAAATTTTGAATTAAATGCAGTGAAATAATCAACCTATTATTTAGGACTTAGGAGTCTTTCTACTTTATGACTAGTTTAGTTTAGGACTCCTAGTTTAGTGTAGAGCTCCTAAACTCAACGAAAAGCAGAAGAGACCCCATAAGACAGGTTGTTAACTTTAGGCTTTTCTGGGTAATTCTGAAGGCTTGAGTATCTGTTGTGTAAGAGCTCAGCTTATTCTCTGGTGACTACTGAATAGATTTTTGCAAAAAACTCCAGGTGATCAAAAATACCTGCAGTAAATAATTTTATTTTATGTCCAGTATCATAGCAATAGCAAGAAGAAAGAAAAAAAAAAAAAAAAAAGGTAGTTTCCTGAAACATCATGTTTGAGTCTTTTCAAAATCACAAAATTAATTCCTGAGATGGGAAAGTTATTTCATATAGTTTCACGTGTATCTTTGCTCACTAAAATTATAGTGTTTCTGCACTTAGCGTTTTAGCTATGCAATAATTTCCATGTGCAGCAGTTACAGAGTCCCTGTTTATACATGAGCAGATATGGGATCCTACACCTTTCAAATGCAAACAAAAATAGTATCTGTATATAAACTTTAGTTGTAATGTGATTTTGCTCCTGGATATATCTTTATTTTTTTATTTAAAAGGTCTCATTGGCAACATTTGGAGTCTTCTTTCATCTAGACAAAGAGAATGGTTTAACGGCAACTAAAGTTTTTACATCTATTTCTTTATTTAACATTTTGCGACTGCCTTTGTTTGATTTACCATCTGTGATCTCTGCTGTAGTCCAGGTAAGCATATTATGAACAAGTGCTGTAAAAGGCTGATGTTTATACTCTTGTTGTGTTTCATCTATTTCTAGGAGTGATTAAGTCATTTAATTATTTTAAGTTACATTTTATTGAGATGAAACTGCAGTATTTGTATGGAATGAGAAGCATGAAGGCTGTTTAAAGGTTGTCTCTCAGTGTTTCAAGCAGAATGAAAATTGGGTAGCACACCTAATTGTGACTGAGCTTTCTGTTTCTCACTTTTTCCTCCTTCAGTGGACTAGACTCAACTTCTGCTCCTGTTCTCTCAACTTCTCTTCTTCATAGTCCACCTATGATAAAGTATGAACAATTTGGGCTTCACATGTTTAAATCACTCAGCCATTGTGTATTGGAGTCCTTGGTACCAAGTAGGGGGGACCCATTTATGGACTCTACAATACTGTTTTTGTCAAGTCGCCACTGAAGGAAGTCGAGACAAAAGGAGCAGAGCTGCTGAGGATGCCGTATCAGAAACCTTCAGTCCTAATGGTATACCGGTAGGGTTACCATATGAGTTGGGAACTTCTAGCTTTTAAGACTCTATTATGGGTGTATTATATGAGCTCCTCATGAATGTACTCTCTCACAGCTTCTACACAACTCAGATTTTTGTAAGGAAGGGGTCCACTGTGAACAGATACTCATCCTGATTTGATTTCATTTATGGTTAGCATACTGCAAGAAGAAAACCTTGTCTTCTCCTAAGGTTTACTTCTAATAGCTTAAAAATTAGCAGAAGTGTAAATTCATCTCACTTTGTCACAGCGCAGGGATGGACATCTCATGAGGCACTCACAGTAAAATGGTTTTATTCTTCATTATATGAAGAGAGAATTACTGTGTACTATTTCTTTAAAGAAAAAAAAAGCTAAAGGGTTTTCATCACAGGTTTATAAGAATAAACTAATTTAGTCAGGATCCAAACATTGGAGGACTAACTATATCTTCTAACATTGAATATGTCAAACATGTTCTGTTATAAAATAACTACCAAGCGGTAGATCCTCAGGAAAAAAATACACTTATTTATGACTTTATATTGTTTAGTACTTTAAGGAAAATAATTTTTAAATACCTAAACACCTTTTTTGTCTGTCTTCAAATAAGAAGAGGAATATGTCTTTCCATTTTATCTAGAACTTTTAAAATATTATTTAAAAATGCAGGGAGCATAGGCATGTTATAAAGATTTTTTATATATATATTTATGTTCACCTTGCAGACCAAAGTTTCTCTGAGCCGTTTAGAGGATTTTCTGTGTGCTAAGGATCTTAACCCTGAGGATATCGATACAAACTACAGTGGAAGTAAGCAGTAGTTATTAATTTTTTTAATTGGTCATGAGTTTGTGTAGATGATCATTAAGAAACTCAGCTGAGGGGATGAATTAGCAACTTTCTGCTCTTTTTTCTTTATTGCAACAGATCATGCTATTGGGTTTATTGGTGCTTCTCTCCGCTGGGAAAAAAATGGCCTGCCAGTCTTAAAAAAGTAAGGTATTTCTTACTTATTATTATGAGCTCCCTTGGCAGAATGTATAGAGATTTTACTCAGGTTTAATGTGTTCTGATTCAGAATAGTTCATGATGTTACATGCCAAAAAGAACATAAATTGTTGTTTCCAGGCTATACCATGTGATCAGTGTGCTCTGGAAAGTCAAATCTGACCTGGTCTCCCTCATGCTCCAAAGGAACAACATAAAAGTGCATGTTCCCCAACATAGCACTATATAAGTACTATGGGAAGCCAGTGCTCTTCATTCCTTCTCCGTTCCTTCTCCGTTTCTTCTCTGTTCCTTCTTCGTTCCTTCTTTCTTACCACCTCTCCCCTCAGTTTGCACAAGGAAGATTTAACTGCAGTATCAATTTTTCCTGAATTGCATTTTGGGAAGCATTTACGGGCAAGATGCCTTTTGTCAGTGTAGCATTTTATATTGCCTACAAGTAAGCTAAGGTAGTTTGTGGAACCTTGGATTGAATACTGATCTTGGGCTGTGGCTTCCTTTGGAAAGAACAAACAAACAAAAGGTTTGTTTCCCTCACAGTGGTCTCTGAAAAGACCCCTCTCTCTGTTTGTGATTTCTTAACAAGGTATTTTTTAGGTGTAAATTCAGCTCTGCTTGAGCTGCTATGCAATGAACACATTGGAGGGTTAGTAAGGAAATGGAGTGACCAAGCTCTGGAGTGGAATGAAGAACCTATTTGATAAGCATTACACAGCTGTTAAATTTTGCTAAGGCAGCTGAAGAGGTTACAACCCACCTAGTCTAACCCTCTCACACTGTCTATCCTGTTCCTCTCAGGGCTGGGGGAATCACTTCCCGTTGAACATCCACATCTCAGCCACCATAGCCTGCAATACAGTATCCAGGTATACACTGCCTTCAGCATCATATACAGACTTCATTAAAGTCAGGCATAAGTCTCTGGGTATAGTCTTTCTCTGCTTATTTGTGCTCCAAGCTCCCGTCTGAAGGGACTATGCTTACCTTAGCGTAGGGCCTTCAAATTGGAACACACTTAGATCCAGACAGCATAGAGTACAGATATAGCCAGTGGCTGTCCTTGTACGCTAAAGTTTATGAGTATTGTACTGATTTTGACAGCAAAATACGCAGATTCTGAAGGGCAGCTTTTATATACCCAAACAGCTATTTTTTCCCTTAAGAGGAATCATACATTGGCTACAGTCAATGCTACGTGAGAAGTCTAGTAGCTGATTGTCAGAGTAAGACGGAATGTGAACTACAGGCCTGAGAAGAATATGATAAGACCGCTTACTGGTTATACTGTCTCCCCTTTGATTTTATTGTGACCAGATGAATGCACAACCTCTTAAGCTGCAGACAAATAAGTTTATACATATAGTCATTATTGCAAGTTTCTGAACGGTACATAGTCAAAAGATGAGTGAACTGAAGTAGTAATGTCTCATCGTTCTGAGTAGAGTATTTCTTTCCTGCAGCGACCACAACCCATACATGATGGAGTATTTACAAAGTGGATAATAATTTGTCTTCCTCATTTTTTTCAGCTTGAGTGTCAGCATTCCTGAAGGCTCTTTAGTTGCTGTTGTGGGACAGGTTGGATCTGGAAAGTCGTCTTTTCTTTCTGCTGTTCTTGGAGAAATGGAGAAACTCGAAGGAACAGTTCAGAGAAGAGTAAGATTGTCTGTCCATGTCACCTTGCCCTCCCCACTCAATACCTAAATTAAATAGAACTGCTTTTGAAAGTGTAGTTTTTCCTCCTCAACTATTTATGGTTGTAGAAATACTGGCAAGGGTAGTTCCACCTTCTCAAATCTTCAAAGAAAAGTAACACAGTGACACTTTGTTAATAGTGTAACAATTTCTCTTTGTTTTCAACCTAGGTGATTGCAAAGCTATTTTCTTATTTTTATAATCTATATAATTCAGTGCAAAAATCACAAGTGTTTAAGTCATATATTGAGCCTAAACGTCTAATGGTTGCTGGTTTTGAACATCTGTACAAACATGACCCACTTTGAGAAGTTATAAACTGTTGTAGAAGATGATCATCTTTCTTGCAATGGCTTATGTGTAGAGAAGATACAGAATATGGAAACAGAGGGAAAAGTTGAACTTTAGGCAGAGATGGAATTAAGGTGCTGGCTGTCCTAGTGCTAGGATACCCTGTAGCTTAACTTGTCTTGTAGTTAAATAGAGCAGTGAAAGTCTGCATCACAGAATGGAGTTTAAGGAAGTTTTTATAGGTTATAGATATGGAGGAAGTTAACCCCTGATGACAGACTACAGTGCTTGAGCCAATACATATCAATGGATAAGCACGATATCAGTTAATCTGGTTGCAAGTGGATTTGGTATTGTTAAAAAGGTGTCTCAGCCTTGAAAATAAGTGTTGAACAAGAATCCGGTCATGTGGAAATCTAGTACAGTATCTTGTCATGGTAGGGGGTTGCAGAAAGAATATGCAGTTGAGATGTTATTAAGGCAGGCATATACCCAACAAGTGTATCTATACTATCAATTTGCTGTAAAATTAATAGATTTTCAAAGGGCATGTAGCTTAATGTGAGAAAAGATCTAGGAGCATTTCCAGTTAGCTTTCCTATCCTGTAGCTTAATTTCTAATGGCTGACACATTCCACAGCATGTTATGTAAAAATACAAACAATCAAGCTGTATTTTAATATATACCTAATACAGACCCATTTTACTGCATATAAATCTTACAATGGATGCCTGTTTGGCACTGAGACCTTTCCCTGAAAGACTTTGCTCGATATATGTCCCAGCTCTGTCAGTTTTATTCAAAGTGTGTGCTCTTATAATAATTATAGGCAAGCTGTTATACAGGAATATTCAACAGATTGTTCTTATTACCTGACATAGTCAAAATTTTAATGGTTTAATAATGCTCAAGTTTTGGAAGTAATTGCTGGTTACTTTGAGGTAAAGCTGGAATTCAAAATGTATTTTTAAATGATGTTTTTTATGTTCAGAAAGCCCAAATAAAAAAATTGTTTCCAATTCTTTTTAGGGTTCAGTGGCATATGTTTCTCAGCAGGGTTGGATTCAAAATAACAGTCTACAGGAAAATATTCTCTTTGGTGCAACTCTAAATAGGCCATACTATGAACTTGTTTTAGAGTCTTGTGCTTTACTGCCAGATTTGGAGCAGTTACCGAATGGAGACCAAACAGAGCTTGGAGAAAGGGTGAGAATTTGAGGTGTCAGAAATAATGTAATAAGTTAAGTTATGGTTTTTATGTTTTTGTATGTTATCTATTTGATAATTTACTCTAACTAACCAGTACTCAGCCAAGCACACCTAGCCCATCCTGCTACTTAGCTTGCTTACTTTGAATTTAACTTCTGTTCAAGCGCTGAACTCTTACTAATTTTTAAAATGGCTCTTTTCTATACAGAAGTTTGAGTCAGCCCTGTTCTATTCTCCCAGGGTTTCCTCTATACTGTAAAAATGCCTGTATGACTGTAAATAAAAGTTATTTTTTTATTTTCCAAAGTATCTTGCATTTGCCCATTTTGGAGTGGGAATTTAATCAACAGAGCCCAAACTTTGCTCTAATTACTTGCAAATCCAATTGTTACCTTTCTGTTTCCAAATCTAGTATTAAATTTACTTTGATTACCTGAAAAAAATAGTGATAAGACTGAGTGTGATACACTGGTCTTCTTTAGTATTTTGTATTTAAATGTGGATTATATTGGTTTTCTTTTCTTAGGGTGTTAATATAAGTGGAGGGCAGAAGCAGAGAGTAAGTCTTGCTAGAGCTGTGTACAGCAATGCTGACTTGTATCTTCTGGATGACCCTCTGTCTGCTGTAGATGTACATGTTGGGAAACATCTTTTTGAGAAGCTAATTGGTCCTTCAGGTCTCCTAAAAAGCAAGGTAAAGTGGGGTGGCTTCCTTTCAATTTGGGGATGAACTGCTTTGTACAGTACAACAGACACAGTAAAGATCCCAGTCATTCTGCAAAAGCTCATCTCCTACATAGCGTGTTGATGAAAATTATTCTGAATAAAGAGGCTAAATAAAAAGTGCATCTGACTGTGCCAGTTTGAAACCTATTGGGTAGACACAGCACAGGCTGAGAGCTGGCCTGACCTGGCAGTCTGAAAGATTCATATAATATTTGCTCATTTCTTCTTTACTGGCAGTTTTAGGAGTGCCGTGATCTGCCTATAAGAGGCAGGGTGGAGCCCTTTGTGGTGACTCTTGGTGCCTCACTGCAGTAAATAGGTTATAGCCAGTATAGGTTATAGAAAGAAAGGCTTCTTGTTGAACAAAGAAATTCCTAGGGGAAAGTGGAATCGGAAGGAATAGATTCTCCCATTTAAAAACTGTTCATGTGGGAAGGTAAGATAGCTTGTAAAAAATTTGTCCCCAGTGTTATGAAATAGTACAGATTATTCCCGTTGGCTGATGGCCTGCAAAACACATGTATTACTATGAAATACTTACTATTATGACTATGTTACTTACTACGAAGTAAATGTCTTGCATTTTCTCTCTCTTCCTTCTCAGTTTTCTTAATTTACCTGCTCCATGGGTTATAAGTATCTGGCTGAAACAAGAACTCTAGTAATGGTAGACTTGTAAGCAGATTTGGTATTGACACTACCAAACTACATGTAGTATATTAAAAGCTATAGTATCTACCTCTTCTCTTTGCAACCTAATCTAAACCATTCCTGAGCCAAAGATACACATTAAGAAACAGGTAAGTACCAGTAATAGCAGGTAGCTAAAAGCATAAAGTTTGACATTGCAATCAGCAATTAAGAGAGTAATGTACTAAAGCAGGCAATAAGTAACAATAATAATAACAAAATAGACAAATAAATGAGCAAAATTCCAGAAAAAATCCATTATATCATTCCAGGTATCATAATATAATGTTTACTTTTAACATACACTTTGTGTTTATATGGTAAATGGAAAACATTGTGTTTCAGACTCGTATATTGGTGACTCATAACCCAATGCTTCTGCCTCATGCTGATCTTGTAATAGTAATGGAAGAGGGCAGGATAAGTCAAATGGGGACCTATCAAGAACTCATTTCAAAGAGAGCTAATTTTGCTGAGTTTATTCCAGTCTTCAACGCAGAGCATACAAGTGAAGAGACAACTCCAATGGAAGGTAAGCAAATTTGTATACTGTATTTGCTTAGCATTTTTTCTTTTCATTCAAGCCTCTCAAAATATTCCTCCTCCCCTTCCTGGAAATGAATAGAATAATTGCTGGAAAATGTAGAGCATTTCTGTGTACGTTTTGGTATAGAATTATAGGTTGTAAATTGAAAAAAATTCAGGCTTTAATGTCTTCAGATCAAACGGTTTACTCTTTCAACTAATGGATGTATGATAAAGCTGCCTTATGCAGCTGTGTTTTACTGTACATACTGTATTAATTACCTGGTCAAGTCACCTGATTCTGCTAAGGTATTATCACCCAATAAATAACTTACGGACATTTCAATTTAATCTTGCAGTGTCAATGATTATGTCCTGTTTTATTTTGGATGTTTCCCATTTCCATTATCTTAGACTGCTGTAATCACAGAGCACAGCAGAAGGACTAGGAGTAAATGGTCCATTTGTAAGAGAAAAAAATAAATGAAGCTTTTAGTACTCTTATGAAATACTTTCAGCCAACAAGTAGACAGGATAAACAAAAAATACTGCATAGTACCTTAAAAAAGCATACTTACAAATCATTTGCATGGATTAGGACTCAGCTTACTTGTGTACCCGAATTGTTCAACGTGTGCTTTTTATAGAGTTGTGGGAAAGAGGTACATTGACAGTGCAGTCTGTTTGATCTGTTTTCATCATGTACTTCAGGAGGAGATTAATTGTGGTTATTTAGTTTTGAGAGAGGGGATCTCTCCCCATGACACAGAAGAGTCCTATAACACATAACTGACTGCAGACGTTTATAATGCTGGTTTCCAATTAGCTTAGCAACTCTAAATTGAGCCGGTAAGTATGATGTGCACTCCGGTGGTCTTATTAAGGCGGGCCCTATACTGGAGCCAGCACTCTCAAATATTTGCTGGGGTTTGAGGAGGAGGAGTGGAAAGACAGAACAGCAAATTAATCAAAGGCAGCAGTGGGCATTCTTGAGTTGGCTGTGTTGGGATGAAAGTGTGAGGTAGCCGCCTAAGGAAATATGTGTTATTCATGAAGGGTAATAGAGGGAAGGGGAACCAAAGTAATGAGGAGAAGGAACAACATGCAATGTGATACAAAATTATCCAGCAGTTCAGCAGGATGGATGGATGGATGTGGAAAACATATCTTTGGCTTAACAGATCTGTTGACAAAAATAACATCAAATATGAAAAAGAAGAAAAAAATCCATTCCTGAAAGAAAAAAGTGTTGACTCTTTTCATGAACACGCAATGAACAGCAAGCTTGGTCTTGCAGACATGATGCAAGAATACTTTGAGTTAAACACTAATGTTAATATTTGCATGGATACGTATACTTTCACTAAGCAAGAATGGAATTCCAAAGAGACTCCAGGCTCATGGGGGAGATCCACCTGGTGTTACAGTTCTAGAATTGGGTCATAAATGTGTCTGTCTTGTGTAGTAGCTATCTCAAGACTAGGTCGACTTAAGGAGTTCATAATTTAAGGTATCCCCATTCATCATTTTGTCCCCATTTTTTATTTCTAGCTTCTTGTACTGTACCTTTCTAGTCACGGTATAATACTGAAAAGATTTATCTATTTTTTTCCTATTATAGTGAGTTCTTCAAAAGAGGGAAAACTGGGCAGGAGTCTGCAACAAAAAGGACTGCTGAAACATAAAGAGTAAGTATTTTAAAAAAATAATGTAGCCGTCGCTTAACTGATGGAATGCTAGAACAACCCCAAATGTGGAAGGTTGTGTCACCAATAAATAAAGTGCTTCACTGTAAACATGGATTAAGCCTAAATGCCCATTAGGAGTTGGCTGGAGAGCGTGTATCTGGAGCTCATCTTCTGGTTTCACTCTATGCGAAAGAAATCCAGTTAATGTACTGCCTAAGTTCAAGAGGTCCAG